TCATGGCGGGGACATTGCTGGGAGCTGGCAGGGCCCTGCCAGATGTGTGCCTTTGGGGCTCGGTCAGGAGGAACACTCCCCTTCAGGTCATTTGTCAAATGGAGGCTTAGCTCCTGTATCTGCTTTCTCTTTGGTTTCAGTCAAGGAAACTTTCTTCTAATGACAAATGCAAAGCGACGAGTGTTTGGCAACTACCAACTGGGTCAGGGGACAGGTGTTCCCTGAGTGCCCACTGTGTGCTGGGTACATTGGCCAGCCCACTGTGGAGGTACTGAATGGCAAAACAGCCATTTAGTTAGACAGATGAGGAAACTGAGGCTCAGAGAGGTGAACAAGATGCCCTGACAGAGGTCCCGGGTGGGATGTGAGCACTGTTACGCCTGCTCAGAAGCCCGCCTTCGGAAGCGCCGGCAATGAGGTTCACATTCCAGCTCCACCTACTCGGGTGACCTTGAGCCTCTTGCTTAACCTCATGCCTCTCCTATGGGTGGCCTCCATGCCATTGGGAGACTCATCTCCAGTGCCAAGAGTGGGCTCTGGTCGACTCAACCAACCGTGCGGTTACCTCTCCATCCTTTGCCAGTGCTAGCTTCAGGATTCCAGGCAAAGCCCATGCCCTTGGCTTTCCCCCAGGACAGAGGTGGCTTTGCCTAAAACTCGCATCTACCCAGTCATCCCCATTTCCGCTGCCACACACACTCCCAACCACCATTATCTACTGGCCCAGCCGTCTCTGAAGCCGACAGGAAGGCCTGGAGGGCAGAGGTCTCCACCCTTGGCTTCGCAGCAGGGCAGCGGGTGCCCACTCAGGAGCTTTCTGTGGGAGGCCGGGGTAGGGACAAGTGAAGCTCTGGTGGACAGAACTGAGGACCAAGAGGGGGTGGGGTGGGCTGGGTTGTCAGAAAGTTTGGGGTCAGTCAGACAGGGTCAAAGTCCTGCCCTCTCCCCCACAGTGGTATGGTCCTGGCTAAGAAGTTGATTCTTCCCTGAGTTCTTTCATCCTTAATGTAATAAATAGGTCATGCTTGTTGTCTGAGCGATGAGACCTCTCTGGGACCCTCTGGGTGTCAGGCAGTGGGCCAAGCTCTTCACAGCATCGTCTCGTTGACCCTCCCATGAGGCAAGCACCAGCCCCATTTTATAGACAAGGAGCTGGGGTCCAGCGGGATCAGGTACTCATCACAGGAAGGAGATGCTGGAACTGGGACCTGGCATCCTGACCACGGTGCTGGTACGGCAGGCTTGGGTCCTTGTCAGCATGTATGAGATCCCCGAGAACTGGTGAATAGAGGCAGGACCCCCAACTCCCACCTTGCCCCTAAGTGACTCTGATCCAAGAGGTCTGGGTGTGCTCTGAGAAAGCAACTGTTTAACAAGCCCTCTACTCCTCCTCACCCCATAATGCCAATGTGGAGGTCCACACACCACATTTCCAGAAACACCACACAGGCTGTGCAGCCTACAGCCCCCCACTCCAGTCAAGAGCTCAGGCTTACAAGGTGAGGGATAATCATGTGAACAGGATTCTCATAACAATATAGCAAAACTTACATCCAGCCCACCACGTGCCAGGCTCTGTTCTAAACACTGACATTCATTTCATTCTCACAAAGGTACTCTGAGATAATGATTATTATTGTCTCTCTTGCAAATGACATCAAGAAAGTTTAAATAACTTGCGCATTGCCCTACATCTGGTAACAGCTGGTAATATGTTAGCCAACTCTGTTCTGATTATCATTACGTTTTATCTTTCCCTTGTATCGACCTATGCCAGATGCACCCCTGGGCATGGCTAGCGAGTGCCCAGGGAGCCAGTATTCAGAGGAGTATGTGGCAAAGTCCAGGGAGCTGGAGAGACGGAGCCGTCCCCAGGTGTGTCCTAAGATTGGAGCGATTAGACGTGGGCTGTGCCCCAAGCCCCAGCTCGCTTTCTAGATGCAGATCTCAACTGTAGGCTCCAGGAGGGAGGCCGGTGGGCAGTGCCAGCTGGAGCTCTGAGGTGGGTTGGTGGGTGCATGGGTGGGCTCCCAGCTGCTAGGTTCAGCCCTCCCTTCCTGTGTCCAGGCCCCAATGGGACGCTCTGGGATTCCTACCTTCTTCCCCTGGGCTGCTCCCATGGCACAAGGTGGGCACCAGGCCTGAGTGGGCTGCGGGGCTGTGCTGGGGTCCTCCCTGCTGGCGCTGATCTCAGCAGCCAGGTCCCGAGGGGCGCCTGGGGCCAGGGTCCCCCGTCCTCTTGAGGTTCATTCTCTGAGGCACAAAGGCGGCTTTCACAGCTGCTTCTAAGCCTGGAGCGCCTCAGACAGGCTTAGGGCGATTGATCTTGACAGTGGGGCCAGTGTCCCCAGGCGGCTCGCACGCCCTTTCAGGGTCCCTGTGACTCCTCGCCTCCCAGAATTCTGCCTCTTTTAGGAAGGGAAACCGAGGCAGCTGGGAAATGGGGAGATGTAGGGCAGTCCTCTCATTGCGCACCAGCAGCTCAGGCACGGTGGGTGACCACCAACCATCCCGCAAGCTGGACTTGGCTTTCTCACCTGGCTGCGTGCTGCCCAGCAGACCGGGCCAGACAGTGGAGGCAGCGTGGGGTGGCTGGGGTGCCGGGCTTGGGGCAGGCTTGTGTGGGGATGTCAACCTATGCCGGGCAGCCCTGTTCATAATAGATCTTTGAAGACACTGGGGGCCCGGGACTCTCTTGGAGCAGAGTCTCTGAGGCAGACTCCTTCATTCCACAGGCAGTAGGCTGAGTGGGGGGGATAGCTGGTCTGGACTCAGGCAAAGAAAATACCTGGAGACCTGATTCCAGCCCCAGGGCCAGGTTCTGTGAGTGCTCCCAGGGGTCATCCTCCTCTTCACTTCCATCCCCTTTCTCCTCCTCGATGCCAGCACGGGGCAGAGGTTAAGGCTGGAGTTACCTTGGGCTTGAACTGTAGCTCTGGCCCTGACAGTTGTGTGACGTTGGGGCATCATTTGGCCTCTCTGAGCCTCAGTGTCTTCATTTGTGTGTGTGTGTGTGTCAGATAATCATTCACACTGCGCCAAACTCACAGTGTAAGCTGTGTGCAGCCAAAGTCTTCACTTTGTGAAAGCAGAACTCTGATCATGTTTTATAATCTGCTGCTTGACCAAAGGGGATAAACATGGCCCCTAGCCCAAGGGGCTGTGAGGATAAAATGAGGTAACTCATATAAGTTGTTTTGGTTTTTTTTTTGAGTTGGAGTCTCACTCTGTTGCCCAGGCTGGAGTGCAGTGGCACACTCACGGCCACCCCAGTGTTGACCTGCTGGGTTCCAGTGATCCTTCCACCTCAGCCTTCCAAGTAGCCGGAACGACAGGCACGTGCTACTTCGCCCGGCTAATTTTTTGATTTTTATTGTAGAGACGAGGTCTCACCAAGTTGCCTGGGCTGGCCTCAAACCCATGGGTGCAGGCAATCCATTTGCTTAGGCTTCCCAGAGTGCTGGGATTATAGGCTGAACCACTGAGCTCGGCCTAAAGTTTTGAGCAGAGCATCTGGCAAACAGCAATCCTCCACAGAAGTTAGGTGCTGCTGTTATTATGCTGTTAATGATACAAATGACAAACCCACTGCCCATTGGAAAGTCCTGGTTTGATTAAGCACAACACCCTCTCCCTAGAGGTGGGTGGGTAGGGAAACCTTGCCACCCTCCCCTTTCCTCCGGTCCAGTGCCTGGCACAGAGGAGGTGCTTGCAGTACACCTGGCATGGCAGTTGATAGAGAGCCAAGGTGTTCTAGTTCCAGCTCTGCCAGCAGCACAAAATCCCCCATGGTCAACGAGGCCTATCCATCAAGCCTTGTTTGACTCTAGGCCACATTGCCCTCTCCCCTCTCTCCCTGAGAGTTCCTGGATCACTGCGTCTTCCCCCACCTCAGGGCCTTTGTACTTGCTATTCCCTCTGCTTGGAATGCCCCCTTACCATAACGATCTTTGCATGATTCTTCCCTTTTTATCCTTCAGCCTTCTCAGGGAAGCCTTCTCTGACCCTTTGTGCAAGGTAGCCTCCCAGGCTCTCTGATTATTATTGTTTTCATTGCACTTACCTGCAACTGAAATGACAGTATGTCTGCGTTTATTGTCTGTCTCTCCTACGGCTCCACAAAGGGCGGGATCTGGTCGGGCTTGTCCATCAGTTTATTCCCTGGTTCTAGAACAGTGTAGTTGCCCCCCAAATATCGGTGGAAGAACACATGATGGGGATTAGATGACATAGTCTCTCTAAGCACGCAGAGTGCTGAGCCCAGCCCTGGCCCACCGGAAGTGCTCACTGCACGGCACTCTTCATGCTGTTGTTATCGTTGCTGTGCTTCCTCCAACACCCATGGCAAACACGCAGCTTCTTCCTTCTGCTCCTTCTCCTGGACCCGACCCCTGCCTCAGCTGCTCCCCACTTTTTTCCTCCCTGTTCCGGGCATGGCTTGGGTGCAGCGTCTGATTCTCTGCAGGAAGGAGAGAGTTCACAGCATCGCCAAGGGAAATGGCTGAATTGGCCACCAGCTGGAGCAGCACAAATGCTTTAAGTCAGCACTGAAGATCAAGCTCCTCTGGCAGCCATCCTGTAATTACCCACCAGTTTGGCTCTTGGTGGGGTGGGAGGGGAGTAAAGGAATTTTACACATTGATCAATTTTTTTCCCCATCTGCTTGGAGCCCTGCTGAAATATGACTTAGCGCTGCAGTGAAAGCCTGGTTGAGGGAGCCCGTGACTGGGCTCTGAAGCCCAGCCCCTGGCAGGATGAGGGTCCAAAGTGTAACATTTAAACCACATGGCATGGGCAGGAGGAACGGAGCAGGGTGGAGGCCCCACAGCCTAGCACTGTGCCTGGCACAGGGGAGGCACCCGGAACATGTACAGAGATGATTTATGGAGTGCCAGTGAGTGGTGGGGGACGAGGAGCAGGTGTCCTAGAGCCATCTTTGTCTTGTCTCACTGTGTGGCCTGGGCACGGCTCTTAGTCTTTCTTTCTTCATCTGCAAAATGGGAATAAATGTCTATTCCTTCTTGACCCTCAACCTTGTGGAAGGAAGCAAGGCTTCCAAGGTGTGAGGGGGCTTTAAAAAGAGGAGTTCTCAATCCCTCACACCTGCCTCCTCTCCAGCTCTTTCAAAGCGGTGAGGGTGGATGCTGAGAAAGCTGGTTCAGGTTCTGTGCAGCCTCCAACCGTCTCCAGAGGCATTCAGGAGGAGCAGGATGGGGGAGGCAGGAGGGGGAGAGGGGCAAGAGGGGACAGAGGAGGGGGAGGAGGAAGAAGAGGGGAGGAGGGGGAGCAGAGGGGGAGGAGGGCGAAGAGGGTGAGGAGGAGAGAAACATAGTTTACCTCAGTGTAGTTTTAGGGCGCCATGGAATGATCTTTGGGAGGGTGGGCCCCTTGTAGTCCAGGCTTCCCCAGCCAGGTAAGGGTTCTAGGAACCCATCAGCATGTGTACTAGCTAGCATTGTTGTGAGAGGCTGTGTTTGGCTTCAGGGACTGTTTTTGGAGATTCTTTCGATGTATTTGCCCATCTCATGATGGATGATTTATGAGCATGCTTGCTCACACCATGCAGAGTGTTCAGCGGTTTTTGACTCAGAACTGCATGACTCTCATGCCCCAACCCCTTTCTCACCCGGCCTCGCCTCGAGTGAATTTTTTTTTTGTTTCCCTGGATGACAAAAGTCTTCAAAGGAAATGTTTTGCCGATGTGGAAGAGGCGAAACAAAAAACAGCAGAAGTACTAAAAGGCATCAAAATTGACGAGTTCAAAAACTGTTTTGAGCAGTGGAAAAAGCATCTTGATAGATATATTGCATCAAATGGAGAATACTTTGAAGGTGACTGAAGTTTAAACATGTAAGAATAAATACATAATTTTTAATAAATAAATTCAAGGTTTCTGGGGGGGCCCCCTCATATATCTGTTTAATGGAGTGATGGAGACAGACTGGGATTCCAATCCTTATTCTGAGGCTCCTTATCTGTGTGACTTTGGACATCAGTTGAGCTCTTGGAGTCTCATTTTCCTTATGTGTAACAGGGGAAAACAATGGCTCCCACCCCATGGATGGGGGGTCTGTGAGGATGAAATGAGGTAATTCATGTAAAACTGTGAGTAAAGCATCTGGAAAACAGCAATTCTCCACAGGAGTTAGGTGCTGCTGTTATCACACTGTTAATAATACGGAGTTTAAATCCACCTCCCGCTGGGAAGACCAGGGAATGGATTCATTTTGCACAACACCATTGCCCAAGAATTGGGTGGGTGGGTGGGAACAATCTTGCCACCCTTCCCCTCCTGGCTTGGGCTGCCACCTACTGGTGAGGACCAGAATTACAGCTCCTGGAAAGATTTCTCTGGCCGGGGGACAGGGACAGGCACAACCCCCGCTCCACCCTCACTCCTGGGATGGGGTGGGAGGCATGTTGGCAGGGAGCCAGGAGGAAAATACAAGCCCCAAATTTGGAGGTCATGATTAGTTTGCAGACGTTCCTGAAGGCTTGTCTACACTGATGAGAAAATTAGTCTCAAGACATATCCATCTTGCTTGCTGAATATCCCTGGGTTGGGTCCCCTTTTTTCATCCTTATGTACCCTTCTGGTCCAGGCCACCACCCTCTTTCCCTAGATGATACAGCAGACTCCTCACTGGCCTCCCTGCCTCCACTCCTTCGTACAGCAGCCAGGAATTTCCAAAAAATGCAGATGTGATCATGTCACTCCCCAGCTTAAACCTTTCAGTGTGTCTCCTGTCCTGGGACAAAGCCCAAGCTCTCTGCCCAGCTCACAAGACCCTCACTACTCCCCCCAATCCCAGTCCTGTCACCCTCCCTCTGCCCCTTCCAGGTCTTGTTCTTGCTGTTCCCTGGCCTCCCTTCCCTCTTTGCCTTGTCAGCTCTTCCCAAGGGGGCTCAGTACAGATGCTCCTTCCTTTGGGATGCCTTCCTGGATTCCCCGATATTACAGCAGGGGTCCTGCAGTGTTTTTCTTAATGTAACCCTTTTCAAGTCACATGGCCTCTGGATCTTTATCCCTTGCTAGACTGAGCAGGGATTGTGCCCGTGCCTGTGGGAAGTAACTGTTTGTTGAGTGAGGAAACTGACTCTTAGTGGGGATATAGCCCTAAATCTCTACAGCCACGTTCTTGGACTTTCTGTCCTGCCCCAAGCCCACACTGATGGGGGTGGGGGGCAATCGTGGCCATGATGTCCTGAAAATGATGTTGAGGGTCTGACTGGTGTGGCCACCCCAGGAAGGTCCAGAGTGGCAGGTTCAAGAGTGTGGTCTTCTTGGTGGATTTTGGGGGTACATCTGGTGGCCAGTTGGACTCATTTTTCTTGCATCTGAGGATATGCCCACTGAACCCTGCACCTTGTCCAGGAGGGGAAGGGGCAGGATCCCCAGTTTCTGCGTCATGTTCCCAGTGTGAGACAGCACGTGGCCTCTTCCATGGGCTCCATATGGCAGGGCAAGCTCCCTCACTCTGAGCTTTACTGCTTTGAGAACGTATCCCCTTTATGACAGCAACTCCTGCAGACCCCGAGACCTTATCTCCAGCCCAGGCTGACCTCAGTCCCATCCAGCTGGTCATGCCAGCCACCTCTCCTAGGATGGGTCCCCCAGAAGCCAGCTTAGAGCCAGGAGATTTGTTAAGGACTGGCCCCTGGGGGATACCACTCAGGGCCTGGAGGAGCAGGATGGGGGAGAGGAAGCAGCCAAGAAAAGGGACCCTTCCAGACAAAGTTCCAGCTTCAGCCTGATCCCACAAGGGAACTCCAGAGTGGAAATTACACCTCATGGCTGTCCTGCCCCAAGGCAGGTATTCACAATCCCACACCTGCGGTCACTAGTTGAGGACCATCCTGTGGTGACGAAAGCTCCCGGCACTTCCTGGTCTCCTTGCACCTGTGAGCCAAGAGGGTGCGAGTGCCCGGGGCAGCTCTCCTAAGAAAAGAAGGGTGCCCAGGAAAAGCAGGGGCCAGGGGAGGGAGCTGGGAACACTAGGCTGTCTTTCCAAGCAACCTCATCCCCATGAGACCCTCTCCCCGGTTCTCTGATTGAGCCAGCTGACCTGTTCTCAATCTTCTGTGAGGGTCATGCCGTGCAGCTTCTAGAAAGGGCCTGTGTGTCTTCTCTCGCAACCAGGCGGACAACTGTGTCCTCTTAAAATAGAGGCCACTGCCAAGAGCCCTCTGCCTGGCCCTGCCTCTGCCACGAACTCGTTAGAAGTCTTTATTGGCTCTTTTTAGATTTTACAAGGTGCTCTTGCTTGTTGTAAAGAGAAATGTCTAAGCATACGAAAGTGTCTATGGTAATAATGGAAATTTCTGCCCCCTTCACTCCTAGAGTGGGTATCTGGCCAGATTTTTTCGAAGCATTATATTGATGTGGGTGTGTTATTTGGGGTTGCCAACAAGCTCCTCCCCCCTTTATCCCTGAGGGTGAGGTAGGGTGGGTTGTGGGGGTCAGGGTGGCTGGCTGGGCACCTTCTCACTTCCTCAGCCAAGCCTGCTCACAACTGCCACCAGGCTTGGCCTTGATTCTGACCCCACTGCCAACTGTGGCCCATGTCCCAGCTGCCACAGCCCCTTGTTCTATACTCCTCCCCATGTCAGGCCCTCTTGGCATGTTTGAAGCCCTCCCTGTCCCCAGGACTTGGGAGCTGTGAGCCCCAAGCCACTGGAGGGCTTTTGCACTGAGCTGGGGCTTCTTAGAGAGGCTTGTGGTCTCCCTAAGGCACACTCTAGGAGGCTGGACGGCCATGAGCCTGGGAACAGGGCCCTCCTCAGAGAGCCCAGGCAAATCTTGACACTGAATCCCTGGGGACCTCTCCCGTCAATGTGCCAGGGGCCTGCTGGCAGCTGGTATTGCCATCTCTTGGCTTGAGGGCTTATGGTTGCCTACTCTTCCCTAGGTAGGGCAGACAAGAAACGCTTTGGAATTCACACTACCCCCAACACCAGCATCCCTGACGAGTGACTGATGGGAGTGATGGGGCTGTGATATGTCTGAGGTGCGTGTCCTGCATGGATCCCTCGGGGTTCCTGGTAGGATTAAGCTCCAGTCACCCTTAGTGGTGGCAGGGTTGACAATACACCCTTCATTGGCCGCCTTCCCTTCCCCGTCTCATTCCTCCTCCCCTATTGGTGTTTCCTAGACTCACCTCCCAAATAAACTGGCTGCCCTGGAATTCGGGTCTTGGTCTGCTCCTGTGGATCCCCACAGAGCCAGCAGGATGCTCTCCCTGAAACTGGCTGCACAGGCTGGTCGTTCTTTCCAGTCAGTCCTGGGTCTGCCCCTTCCTCTCCCTCTCCAGCTCTGAATTTTCTCCAGTCCTGTTCAAACAGCAGGGAATGACACCCCTTGTCTCAGGGGCGGCAGAGGTGGAAGGGAATCCACATATAAGTAGATCAGCACAGTTTAAGGGTCAGCTATATTTATATACATACCTGTGTGCATTCCAGGCCTGCCTATGTTGTAAAAGACACATGGGTTTAGAGCATTTCAGGCACTTACTCAAAGTCACACAGCTGGGCTATTGGCCCAGTAGGGACTTTTTCTAGATTGCTTGAATGTTCATCTAGGGGGTCTCTTACTGCAGACTTTTATGAGTATGGTGTGTTGTAGATCCCTTTATAGAAGGACTCGCAACATCCTTCCTGTCCTACTGCTCTCTGTTCCCACCCCTCTAACTCAAGGAACCAAGGATTCCAGATGCCAAGGATTTTCTGTCTGCTTAGAGGAAATCCCTGTGAAATGGAGCTCTTTTCTGGCTGCCTCATGGTGATTCCAAAGCTGTCACCAACCTGTCCTACCTGTGGCCCAAGCTAACAGAGTCTAGGCCAGTTCCATCTTAGGGAGAAGCATAGTACCCCGAGTGGTCGGAAAGCTCACTCAAAATCATCAAAAACAGAATTTAATTTTGCTCAAGTGTGGGCAGTCAGTCCCTCCTCAGGACTGGCCATCCGCAGTCCCTGACAAAAACACACATCTGTTCTCTCCACAGACAGCAGGTTCCAGAGGGACACTCAGAGGCTTGTCACCTCCCAGGTAGGATGCGTCAGCCTGTGGGGTGTTTTGTTTCTGAAGAGGAGAAGCATGTCACAGAGCACAAGACTTGCCATCATCTTCTACACGGGGCTCCCTCCTCCTCCTCGTCCTCAGCCCTTGCCCGGGCTCGCACTCCCAAGTCAGGTGGAAGCTCTCCAGACTCCAGGCCCAGGAAGAGCCACAGCTACCCTAGTACATCTTCTGGGGCACACAGCCCTCCAGCTCCAGCAGCTCCGGCCACCCCTCGTATTTGTTCGTGTCTGGGTCGTTCTTTAAGTACTAGAGAGAAGACAGAGAAACAGATGATGGGAGAGGCTGTCTCGGCTTCGCACCTACATGTGCTGCGCGCTCTAAAACCTAAGTGCCTCCCTCACCTCATCCTTATCACAGCCCCATGGGCGGGGAGTGTAGGATATTATTAACCCATTTCACAGATGGTGAAACTGAGGCTAAGAGAGGCGATAAAACTTGTTCAAGGTCTCAGGGGTGGGATCAGAGCCCAGTTACTGTTATTGTGCAGTTAAAAAAAAAAAAAAGAAGACTTGGCAATCCTAGAGTGCTTACTCTATCCAGGTGCTGCTTCAAAATGCCTTATGTAATGAGTCTGCACAGTGGTCCTGGGGCGTGTGCACTGTTATCGCATTCTGTAGATGGGGAAACTGAGGCACAGAGGGTCAAGGTCACGGCCTGTGGTCACCTGAGTGATAAGTGAAGGAACGACCCTGTGGTGTTAATTAATTCTAGTAATACATATATACAGAGAATAACATCAGTTAGGATTGTGTTTCAAATGCTCAGGTTTAGTTTATAAAAGAAAAAAAAAGTATGTGGCAAAATGTATGTGGGTGTGTTGGCAGACCCTCAGGAAGAAATGAAGAGATTCCAGATGCGGCTTCTCTAAAGCTGTTTCCCACGTGTGGGAGCAAAGGACACATTGGTGCAGTCATACTGTCGTCTTTGGTCCATTTTGGGGTGATGGGTCCCAGCCAGCTGATCACAAACAGGTACCAGGTGGCAATGGGTTTCCTACACTCACGTGCGGTCTACGGGCATCTTGGCCAGTGTTGATGGGTCTGGAAGCGTTTGCTTCCAGGCAGAACAGCGCCCGTCCCGACGGTGCAGCCTCAGGTGTCTTCTCAGGGCCCTGAGCCAGGCGCCCCAGATGCACATCCTGGCCGCCAGCCTGGGGCCTCCTGTGTTCTTCACCCAGAGTCTACACAGAGTGCTTGCCTTTTCTCTACCACACGGTTCACCAAACTATTCCTTATGTCCAAAAAGTAGTTTCTAGTTACTTGAACACATTCTCGTGGAAACACACACATACCAAACCAACATTCTACAGAGAAGGCAAAGATCAGCCCAGCCCCAGTGTGGGGCCCTTCCTGGAGCTCAGAGCAGGGTTCCCTACACCTGCCCCTTCTCTGCCTCTCAGTCCCCATCTCTAGGCTGCTGCGTTCTTGTCTGCTGACTGCATCGGCCGCCTCTCTGCCTTCTGACCCATTCCTTCCACAGCGTTCTCTGTGCCCCACCGGGGAGACCCTTCTAGAAGGATAAGGATAGGAATCTGTGGAGGCAGGCAGACCTGCATAAGAGATGTGGCCACCTCACTGAGTAGTTCTGGGACCAGAGCAAGCGGGTGAAAAACCCTGAGATAATAACAGACCCGCTTGTAACTTCCTCAGCATGTGTATGCACAGAAAAGTGTTTGCTGAATGCTAGTTTTTCTTACTATCAGTCTGTTTTTGATTGCCACTTTTCTGATTGAGCCTTCCACGACTCCCCACTGCTTGCAGGTCAGAGTCAGCTCTCCCCAGTGTCCCATATGTCAGAATCATTGACTGTTATCTCTCTGCCTTGGGATCTGGGCAGAGCTGAATGTTCTCACCATTAGAGACTGGCCCGCTTCACTGTGGGGAAGGTCTGGTCAGGTCTCCCAGGTTTCCAGCGTTGCTCTGAGCTAGGGATGGACAGGTAGGGGCCGCCACTGACAGGGGAGAAGGCACAGTGTTTCCCTCGTGGCCCTCAACCCTCTGGTGACTCCCTTCCTCCTCCTGTGGGCACCCTTTATTTTTTATTTTTATTTTTTGAGTTGGAGTCTCACCCTGTCGCCCAGACTGGAGTGCAGTGGCCGCTCCCGGCCAATGCAGCCTCGACCTGCTGGGCTCCGGTGATCCCTCCACCTCAGCCTTCCAAGTAGCCGGAACTACAGGTGCACACTACCACGTCTGGCTATTTTTTATTTTATTGTAGAGACAAGGTCTTGCCAAGTTTCCCGGGTGGATCTCGAACCCATGGGCTCAGGTGGATCTCGAACCCATGGGCTCACTCGCCTTGGCCTCCCCAAGTGCTGGGATTACAGGCTGAGCCACTGAGCCCAGCCTGTGGGTACCTTTTAGACCCTCTGCTCAGGGCCACCCCTGGGTAGGGATTGTGCATCCCCATATAACAAACCCTCCTGACTCCCTCCACATGCCCAGGTGGGCTCTCTCTGCTCCCCTTCTTGGTGGAAGTTCACTCTCTCCATAGGAACTGAGAGGGGGACTCGGGGCTCCCTGACCCAAACCTTTCCCTTTAAAGGTGAGGAGACTGGGGCCTGGAGGGAAGGGTGCTGGCCAAGGTCACACCTGGGACCAGAGGCCGGCCACCCTGCCTGTGCTCTGGTCCCCTCCTTTTGTGGTCCTTATCCATATACCTAAGCATTTGTATATGACCCACCCTTTGCAAAGTCCCAGCTCCCTGCTGGGGACTGACCAGTCGGACCACCATGACCTTCGGAGCAAATGGCAACCCGATGGCCTTCCCTGGAGACTCCTGATCATAAGGCCCGTGGTTGGTGACTGTCCACCTCACTTCCACCCAGCTCCTTGGCCATTCATCCTGGTGCCCTCCACACTCTTCACGGGGATGGGGCAGTGGCCAGAAACTTACCTGCTCAAAGGGACTTTTATCCTTGAGGTCTTTGGCTCCTAGAAAGACCCAGCTGTCCCGGAAGCCCAGCTGCTTGGCATAGGAGCTCCCCAGGTTGGAGAAGAGCTTCCTAATTTCATCATTCATTCTGCAGAAGACCATAGAGGACGACTGGGACCCGGAGAGGGGTCGAAGGGGCACCAGGGATGCGAGGGATGCGGGATGGAGCCGGGTCAGGATTCCCACCCTCTGCTCTGCCCTGGGGTGTGCCTGGAGAACTTGGGAAGGACAGGCGAGGGGTCCAAGAGCTCCTTTCCAAAAGGCCTGGGATAGGGCTGGAGAGGTGTTAAAATAGCATTGCTTCTGTTTACAAGTGTAATGCATGTTCACTTGGAAAATATGGGGCAACACAAAGAAGTAATTAAAGCATATGGTCTCACCCACTGGACATAAACATCGTCTATATTTTGATATATCACATTTTTTTCTCAGCACTAGAGGTGAGCATTCTTCCATGTCCTTATATATTTTCTGCACCATCATTCTTGATGCAGTATATCTTCATTTACGTATATATCATATTTCATATGTCACCATATGTCACAATTTCTGTAACCAGTTAGCAGCTATGATTGGGCAGGGAGTATGTTTCCATGGTCACTGTTGTGACCAAGGCTGTGAGGAACCCCCAAGAACATTCTTTGTGCCACGTCTGATATTTTCCCCTAGATAAGCTGCCAGAAGACAGAGACCGCAGGGGAGTGGAAAAGGGCATGTGGGGCTCTGGGTATTTGGTTCCCATCACCACGTGGCCTGGCAGTTGGAATTTACTACTTACTTGGTCCCTGGGTCGTCATAGGAGGCCACCAGCACCAGCATGCCCTTTGAAATTTCTGTAAGGAATTTCACCAGGAGCTTAGGATCTGGGGGAGGAAGGAAAATGAGGTCATTTAGGGGTAATGACGCTGGTCACTCTTATTCTCTTCTACTGCCCCGTGATCCAGGTGCCACCTGGGTCAGGCTGACACTGAGTTGGGAGGCTGACGTCAGCATCCCGGGTGGGGCTCCCTGCAGCCCTTGATAGGGAAGGGTGGGGTAAGGGGCACTCAGCCAGGTGATCTGGGGTAGCTGCGGGACCATGGGATTTAAAAGTTCCCCAGGTGACGAGATGTGTAGCTGGGGGTGAGAACTACCCTGCGGGCCCACCCTCAGGGACCTGAGCACTGTCCCTGGGCCTCTTTTACACGGAATTATATGTGCTGACTTTATGTTTGTTTGTTTGTTTGTTTTTTTGAGAGGATCTTGCTCTGTCACCCAGGCTGGAGTGCAGTTACATGATCACAGCTCACTGCAGCCTCAACCTATTGAGCTTAGGCAATCCTCCCACCTCAGCCTTCTGAGAGCCGGGGCTAGAGGTGTGTGCCACCACACCCGGCTTGTGATAACTTTAGATGGTGCACCACAAGGCCTCAGAGAACCGAAATCTTGGAGAAAGAACTCGAGTCTATTGCAACTCTCCTATGTCAAGGAACAAGGCTCTTTACCGCCTCTCTGCCTTACAGAACTGTCTATTTACCAGAGAGCAGGCCTAGGCTTGGTACCTGGGGGAGGCATGGACCTCCAGCTTGCTGTGAGGATGCTGATTTATTTCTGTTGTGTTTATTTTTTATGGTCACCTTACCTGCACAACAAGCGATAATGGCTTTCTACTTAAGGTAGTGAAATAGTTTCCTTTTAAGTTATATTTATTTAGGTGAGAAAATAAGTGGGCCAATTTAAAGTAAACTTTTACTAATTCAGATGGCATTCTAGATACGGTGAAAGTTGAGAAGGGGGCTCTTGAATGACTGAAATTTGGGAAAGAGTGGCTTTGAGGTTAAACATGTACTGTCTATCAAATGAGGATGAGTAATAGCCCTGCTCATGGCATCTTTGTAAAGTGCAAATGTGACAATGATTTTAGACACATAGTAAGTACACTCCAATGGAATTACAAATTATTAGCAGGATTGGCTACATAATTTTCAAGGTCCAGGGCAAAATGAAGGTGTGTGGCCTTTTCTTAAAAAAGTATTAAGAAGTTCAAGGCTGAGGTGGCCGATCATCAAACCAAGGGTGACATTCCTTTAAGCATGGTTCCTGTGGGACTGCCCGGCCCACATGTCTCAGGCCTACACAGCCAGCTGTGATTATTCATATTCCAGTGGCGATTCCTTGGACCTGGGGGAAGAATCAGCCCCTCCATCTAAGACCAGCTGCCAACCAGCTCAGTAACACACGGGCCTCCAGTCAGTCACCACAGCTGTGCTTCTAATGAAACAGCCCTTGAACTTTCAGGATGAAAAGAGGGAGCTTGTAAAGCACCATTAATTTCTTTGTGTAGTAAGGAGATATGACGGTCTGGTGCTTGTCTGGACAGACAGCGGGTATTTGGAGAAAATCAAGTTGTGCCTCCTGCTAATTATCTCCTCTTTTGTCTCCTGAGAGAAAGGGCTACTCGCTCTCAAAATGCTCCTGTTTCTGGGTCCCCATCAGCAATGGTTACGTCCAAGTTCACAATAAAATATTTTAAAGCTTAGTTTTATCTTAAACATTTTTTTCCCCATTTCATTCTGACAGGTGACCTCCTTGCTTCTGAATCATTGGAATAGAAGGAGAGATGAGGGTGGGGAGGGTGGGGAAGGGAGGATAAGTTCACCTCTCCCCAGGGCTCGTTAGTCGAGGATTTGTCAAAGATGAGTTGGTTGAAAACCTGAGGTTTTGCTTCTGGAATCTCTCTCCTGTTCACTGGCTTCTATGCCTGTTCTTGCAC